GTACTTGGTAACAAGTCATAAGCAGTTAAGAACTAATCCTAGAACTGTCATTACCATATGGAAAGAATCAAGTGTATTTACAATAAGAATTCACTTTATTTCAGACCCGAGGGCTAAAAGGAGAAGGGTATGTAAATATATTAAATAAGGACCTAAAGGCTCATACTGTGACATCAAATAATTTATATGCAAATATAAGGCACTTTTAAATTGCAGAAAATATTGACTTTTGCATGAAAATGCCATTTGCTAAATGAATTCATCATCAAAGCACATGAAGTATAACTATCAGCAGCTTAAAAATATTAGCATGAAAACATGTACCAAATCTTAGAGCTTTTATGTTGGGCAACTGATGCAACACAACTGCAACAAAAGAAAACTATAGTCCACATGGGAGCTTTATGCAAAAATATTGATCCATAAATTACATCATAAACCATGCAAAATACTGAAGACAATCTATATTAGCAAAAAGATACAAAATCTGACCAACTTCAGAATCTTCATTGTATACAATTTGAACTTTATAGAGAAAGGCTTGCTGCATAACTGTTATGTGCATTGATCCATAAGAATTCTTGCACTCGATGCATTGTTTGTCGACTACCAACATCACAATTATGTTTTCATAGGAAAACAAATAAAATGTTGAAACAATGATCTAAGTAGTTTGAAGTTGGAACTTCCAAAGAATAACATCTAGGCATTCCTGACATTCTAGAATAAAATTAAACATCTAGGCATCAAATGTCAGGAATGAATATGCATATTATTTTTTAATCAATTTTCAGAGAAGCAATCACAAAAAAAAAAAGTAAATTCCAATCCAGACCAAATTGATCACCCTCAGCAGGTACACCACTAAGAACCACTTATAAGATCTCGCCGCTATAGTCGCCTTGCTCCAATCAAAACGATAATTCAACCACTTACTACGGTGCGATAATTAGGACGATCTAGTCAACGACCTCTAACATCCTCAAGGGATGTCACGTAAGCTATAGTAACCGTGACATCCCTTCTTCACATCCATATGGTTAAGCCTAAAATGATTATAATTAATTTGCAAATTACAAATCTATTGTATACATTTACAAAAATTACATACAAACAAATTTATGTTGTAATAAAATTATTTTTTGATTTATTATTGTACATGCTACAATAAATTTGCACAGTGGTTGCTACAGTAACCCTGACATCCCTTCTTCGCTTTACACACGCATTTCACTGTAGCTTCGTGACATCCCTTGGGGATGTTAGAGGATCCGCTACCGTGAAATGAGCCCTACATTCTATACAATATCAATTAGTTGTGTGGGTTTACCGGAAATTAGTGGTGTGGGATTTGCAGGAAGTACATAGCACATATATGGTAACCGTTGATGCATGACAATTTTGGTCTGTTTCATAGTGGAAAGACTAATTGATATAGCTACGACACTTATACCTTGTATCTTATAATAGCCCGTTATAGCTGCAACATGTATACCTTATAATGGGAAAACCATAGCAAGTATGTATCCCCAATATCATGTATGATATCCAGCTATAGTGATGGTAATTCTTTCATATCCTTGTTGAGACAGATCCAGAAACACGATTTAAGGTCTTGCTTACGAAACATGTTACAGTGGCTTGAATGTTTCTGACAAGGAAAAACATGGAAGTATATAAGTCAAACAAAAATGATAGTGCCGAATCATAGTACCACGTTAGTCAAATATCAGCAGAAACTTGTGAAGAGCAAAAGAGCTAACCTCCTCAACGGAATGACACTGCACTTCGGCTTTTAAAAGAAAAATACTCAAGAAATTAAAAGAAATCTAGACACTTGCCGGATGACAAAGACACAGACCAAGACGAAACCGCCTCCATTTCCAAGCAGATGTGTGTCATATCTGCAATACACACATGCCAATCATTATACCGGTATTGGAGGAAGTAGCACGGATCCAACTAATATTACCTTATCTTAGAGCAGAGATATCAAATGGAAGGTGAAATTGCAAGATTGGTCTGCCATGGCCTCTTGTATTGTGTTAAATATGTCCTTTGTATTGCACAAATTAATCAGCCAGCACATACATACAGGTCAGGAGTGTATGATTGACAGATTGTACAAGGCAACAAGAAAAAATAGTACAAATTGACACCTTCTGGAGTGGTCCAAGGAGAGAAACGTAAGAGGAACAGAGAGGAATGAAGAGAAAAGGAAAGAAAGAGGGTGATGTGATCTGAAGAGGTGATGGTGCGTTCGTCCAGGTGGGAAAGATTGATGAAGAGGATCTAGGTGCCGAAGACGACCTCGTCCGGGAGCGGCTGCTCCCCCTCCTCGCCTCCGGACACAGCAATGGAGGCTGCCGCATCGTCGACCTAGGTATGGCAGATCGAGTTGCTAGCGCCATGTGGCTTGCTATATAGAAATACAAGCTTGCAACATGCAAATCATTTCTCTAAAGCACAACATCCTCACAATTAACCTGTAAAAAACATGTAGAGTAGTTCTTATCAGCAAGCACAGTTTAAAAACTATATCATCAATCCATCCTCAGATTTGCACCCCTCCTTCCAAATCGGTGATGTTGCATCGGCCAACTCTGATACCCGCATCCAGTGGCGTAGACAGGCCCCAGGCTAGGGGGGCCATGGCCCGGGGCGTGTGGCTGATATCTTTTGGTAATTGTAGCAGTTTAGCTACTGTAGCTACTGTAGCACTGACTATTGGCCCGGGGCGTGGCTCAGGGCTGCCTACGCCACTGCCCGCATCCCTTTAATTGATTGCCCATGTCGTGTGGCATTAGGAAAACCTTCTTCCATGATAACATCAGGCTCATTAACCATCAAGTCCCACAGTTTTTCACGCAACAAACCACCCTGAAAACAATCAAATGGATTGATTAAATAGGTGGTTTAATTAGTACTTTGCAAGCAGTATAAGCTAGGCTGAATTTAGCTACTTCGTTCAGATATACAAATCGTAGGGACAACTTAGTGTTGCAGCTTAATCACGTGTAATGTTGTCACTATCGACCATCAGTTCTTTACAAAAGGCGTGAGAAAGACAAAAATTAAGCTCTTCAGTGTTTATTTAAGCAAAATGGTTCAAATGATGCTTTATGGTACAAATATAGACACACACAAAAAGAACCAAACATTTGTGTTTGAAAAGCTAGCCTCGCATATAACAGATACTTAAAAGATTTTTAGGTAGAATGAACCATTTACCATTATTAAGAGTGCTAGTCTCATGTACTATATAGGTGATACAATTTCAGGAATTTCAAGATGATAAAAAATAGAGAACAGTTTGCCTAGGCTCAGGAAGTAAATTACAAATACTATATGTACATATTTTTACATTTTTATGAAATTACTGATGAGGTGCACATAAACCATTCCAAATATACTGCATAAACCAGAAGCTTGATTTTATGACAAATAGACAAATAACACAAACCTGATGTCTGTGTTTGGCTCCCTTCAAGTACAGAAGAGTGGGGCAATCCATATTTTCTGATAGGTGCATGGTAGGGAGCAAATGTGTGTAAGGTACAATGACATCTTTCAGCAATGATACTTGAGAGTGTTCTATCATATGAGAAGAGTTGCTGCCTGCAGATTTTGGATCAAGTTTGTACCACCCGCCAAAATCAACCACCAGTAGAATTGCTAGCAATCTCCATCCGCAGATGCCACATTGCTATAGGGTCTGTCAAAGAATTCCTCAGTATTTAACATGACCTGAGCATCTAAAAGAAAAATAAGCTGCTAGCAAATCAATCTTCACAAAGACATAAACAGTACTGCTAGGCAAATCAATTCAGATTGACCTTCACGCATTGTGCATCCGTCAACACGCCCAACCTCCGTAACTCAGTGATGAAGCGGCGCATTGTTATCCTCCTTTTCTAAAAAACAAAGGGTACTTAGAGAACATTCTATTTTTCTTAACAAAATTAGCAGTCAGTTCATTGACAACTCTGCAATGCTTGAGCATGACTAAAAATTCAAAAGTGAGGCTCCCCAATTCTGCGATGTAGTGTGAACAGCATGCTAGTATTTGTGGCGGGAGCTGCATGGGAGATAAGTGAAAGGGAGACGGAGAGAGAGCGAACCAAATCGGCAGTGACGATTGCGACGTCGAAGTTAGAGATGCGGTGGTGGATGTGGCGGGGGTTGCGTGTGATGCCCTCGGCCTCACGGCGGTGTCGGCCCGCGCGTCGGCATCGAGGCAGAGCCTCTTGGCCTCAAAGGCGGAGGCGTCGAACGAGGACGACGACGAGCTCCTGGACGCCACGGCTGGGAAGATGGTGACGGCAATGGAGGCGACGCTGCATCGGTCGCCGCGCACGAAGAGGTGTTCGGAGCTCGAGGAGGAACCGGTGGCCAAGATTGCACAGTTTTGTAGTCATCAGCATCTCTACCTACAGAGGCAAGGGGGGTTTAGAAGAGAGGGCACACCCAACAGCAGTTGCAAAAGGCTCGGCGTCAAGCATGCGCCACCGGCAGCAACGGCATCTAACCCACGGAGGCGAATGGAGTCGCTGGTCTCGTACAGTACAGTCGAATTGGTCACTCGATCCAGCTTTTGTCTATGGATTGAAACGGGGTGGGACAGATCGGTCTCTGTCAAGACCAAACTAAGCCGATCTAGTATAATTGCTAAAGCCCACACTAGACCAAATTATCACTGGTGCTCAGCCCATTTAACCCAATCCAAAGCAAACTAATGGAAAAAACTGAACTGAAATTTTAGTTTGAGTCCAAACCATTCTCAAGTCTAATGGCAGGCATAGTGAAGAACTTCACAATGGTAAAGCACAAGGACAACCAGATTCCCCGTAAAAGTTAACAGGCACATAAGACCAAGAAATGTTTAGAAGCATTAGAATTTAGCACATATGGATTTAGTAAACAGGTTACCTCTGATTTTGGAGAGAAAATCAAGGAGAGGAGGGATATGTAGCCCCTGACTTCCCGGTAGTCTGTCCCTTTCAGCTCCTACAGAAGAAAATCAATCACAAAATCAGCGCAGCAGGCGCACACCACGGCGGCAGTTCACACCACACATCTAGCACGCACACACGCCTCCAGCAGCACGAACACCACACGCACGCCACTGGCAGCACGCAGCCAACTCACAGCACCGACGCACACCCGCTGTGCGCCCTCAGTTGCGTTTGCCGTCTGCGCCGTGCCCAGCTTGACTGCCGCCGCTGCCCAGATTTCCAGAACTTTCCCTGGAGGGATGGGAAGAAGAGACATGCACTGACCTTCGATTTGTAGTCGCCGCCTCAATTTGCAGCTGCCGCGGACGGCCTTGAGCGTGACGACGCTGGGTTGACCGGATCGATCCGTTGCCTCCCATGCCATGCCGAGGCAGACCACAGATCGAACCGTCGTCGTCGTCACCTTCTCCTCCCACAAGGCGTGACGACGTTGGCGTGGCTGCGTGGGAGAGCGCGGCCCGTTCCTCTTCCGCTGGCGACGCTAGCGGCGGCGGGCTACATGGGAGAGGAAACGAGAGAGAGGGGAGGTCGCGTGAGTGGGCTACCTTCATGGGGAATTTACCTTGTGATCCCAATCCCTGTGACAGTAAAATCTCCCGACATGGCATAGCTCTTTGCTCCCCCTTGCGCGACGGTTAATGGGTTTGATAGTTGTCATATGTGTTTATCTGATTGCCACGTACGCGCAACTGTAATTGCAATCTATCAACGAATTATAGTTGCCATGTGTGTTTACCTAGTTGCCGTATACGCGCAACTGCAATTGCCATCTATCATCGTACGAGCGTCGTGTGGGCGAAGAGTGGACTGGTTGGTGACTGTGTGAGCGGGAACCGATTCATCCACATGGCGCAGCTGGCAAACCACGCGCTGCCGGTCATGTGGGCGAGCGCTCTAACGCCCACACAACACGCTATGTGGCACTCAGATTCCTTTAGGATCCGTGCAAAACAGAATCAAGGTAGATCAAGACATTTGGGCGATGTGCAAATATGCCACACATGTAGACGTTATCATTTGGGTTAATATAATGTCTAATATTAAAGTGCATTGCAAGTACATATTTACTAGTATTACAAAAATTACTTCACATAAAACATTTGAAAAAGTGTGAATGAACTATTTGAAAAATGCTAAATATGTGTACAAAAAATGTCTCTCATGTATACAAAAAATATACAGTGTCTATGAAAAAGTTGATCATGTATTTAAAAAGTGTTAATCAAGCATTTACGAAAAGTGTTAAACAAGTTTTTGAAAAATGTTAATCAAGCATTTGAAAAATGTTAAATGTGTACAGAAAAAATGTTGACCATGTATTAAAAAAATGTTTAACAAGTATTTAAGAAATGTTAATCAAGCATTAGAATATGTTAAATGTGTATAGAAAGAAATGTTGGCCATAAGAAAGTTAATCCTGTATTGTACTAAAAAATGTTAAATTTTTATTTGAAAGATGTTAATCAAGCTTTTGAAATTTTTAAATTTTATATAGAAAAAAAATTTGGCCACACATTAAAAAAGTTAAATGTGTATAAAAAATGGTTGTCGACACATTAAAAAAATTTAATCTTGTATTTGGAAAATGTTAATCATTCATTTTAAAATGTTAAAAATGTGTATAGAAAAATGTGACAATGTACTAAAATAAACGTTAAGCTTGTATTTGAAAAATGTTAATCAAGAATTTGAAAAATGTTAAAAACGTCCATGCAAAACATATTGACCATGCATTCAAAAAATATTAAAGTTGTATTTAATGAATGTTAAACATGTAAAATGTTCTTGACGCATATGGAAAATGTAGAACGAAAGACAAAAAGAAACGAAGGAAACAAAAACAATGAAAACTAAAAAAGAAACAAAAGGAATCAAAGAAAAAGGAAAACCAAAGAAACAATTGCAAAAAGAATGAAAAAACAATGCAACCCAATAAAGAAACAAAGAATAACGAAAAAACATTAAAACCAATGAAGAAACAAAAAACCAAAAGAGAAGAAAAATGAGAAAATGAAGAAAAGAGAACTTATATCAAAGAAAAAAGATTTTTATATCAAAGAGTAAAAAGGAACCAAAGAAAAAGGAAAACCCCTATAAAAACTGAGGAAAAACAAAGAAAATAGAAGCTATATCAAAGAATAAGGAAAAACAGAAGAAAGCATATTGAAAAATAAAAAGAATCAATGAAATGAAAATGAAATGAAAAAAAACCCAAAGAAAACCAAGCAACAGCGATAGAACCACAGCGATCGAGTAACTGCGCTAATGAGCCGGCATGCTAGTGAGTATGTGACGTGAGAGCTTGTTCCTTCTCACTACAAGCAAGATATAGCTCTCGCGGCAGGCGAGGGCTCTTGTGCCAATCAATGTCTGAAGCCCTAGGGATATATCTCGCCTAATGTGAGACTGAAGAATGGCTCGCCTTTGGCGCTCACGCTATCAGGTTGGTCCAATAATGAATAGCTTCCTTGAATCGGTTTTGGGAAGCTTCTATGGACCGGTTTTTAAAACTTCTGTGTTTTCTTATATCAAATTTCTTTGTTTTTCAGTTTTTCTGTTAGTTTCATTATCTTATTTTTAGTCATTTTTAAAAACATTTTGACTTTTTTAAAAACAAGTTGTATATTTTTCATATACAGGTTGAACATGTTTTAGATATATATTGACCATTTTCCAAATATATGTTTGAAGGAAATATGCCCTAGAGGCAATAATAAAGTTATTATTTATTTCCTCATATCATGATAAATGTTTATTATTCATGCTAGAATTGTATTAACCGGAAATATGATACATGTGTGAATACATAGACAAACATATAATCACTAGTATGCCTCTACTTGACTAGCTCATTAATCAAAGATGATTATGTTTCCTAACCATAGACATGTGTTGTCATTTGATTAATGGGATCACATCATTAGAAGAATGATGTGATTGACATGACCCATTCCGTTAGCCTAGCACTTGATCATTTAGTATACTGTTATTGCTTTCTTCATGACTTATACATGTTCCTGTAACTATGAGAAATATGCAACTCCCGTTTACCGGAGGAACTCTTTGGGTACTACCAAACGTCACAACGTAACTGGGTGATTATAAAGAAGTACTACAGGTGTCTCCGAAGGTACATGTTGAATTGGCGTATTTCGAGATTAGGTTTTGTCACTCCGATTGTCGGAGAGGTATCTCTGGGCCCTCTCGGTAATCCACATCATTATAAGCCTTGCAAGCAATGTGACCAAATGAGTTAGTTACGGGATGATGCATTACGGAACGAGTAAAGAGACTTGCCGGTAACGAGATTGAACTAGGTATTGGATACCGACGATCAAATCTCGGGCAAGTAACATACCGATGACAAAGGGAACAACGTATGTTGTTATGCGGTTTGACCGATAAAGATCTTCATAGAATATGTAGGAACCAATATGGGCATCCAGGTCCCGCTATTGGTTATTGACCGAGAATGGTTCTAGGTCATGTCTACATAGTTCTCGAACCCGTAGGGTCCGCACGCTTAACGTTACAATGACAGTTTTATTATGAGTTTATAAGTTTTGATGTACCGAAGTTTGTTCGGAGTCCCGGATGTGATCACGGACATGACGAGGAGTCTTGAAATGGTCGAGACATAAAGATTGATATATTGGAAGCCTATGTTTGGACATCGAAAAGGTTCCGGGTGAAATCTCGATTTTACCGGAACACCGGGGGGTTACCGGAACCCTCCCGGGGGTTAATGGGCCTTAGTGGGCCATGAGGAAGAAGAGGAGGGCCGGCCAGGGCAGGCCGCGCGTCCCCTCCCCCCTAGTCCGAATAGAACAAGGATGGGGGGGCGCCCCCTCTCTTCTTTCCCCTCCCCCCTTTCCTTCTCCACCAAGGCAAGAGGGGGGAGTCCTACTCCCGGTGGGAGTAGGACTCCTCCAGGCGCACCCCAAGGGGGCCGGCCGCACCTCCCCCTCCCTGCTTTATATATGGGGGCAGGGGGCACCCCATAACACACAAGTTGATCTACGGATCGTTCCTTAGCCGTGTGCGGTGCCCCCCTCCACCATATTCCACCTCGGTCATATCGTCGCGGAGTTTAGGCGAAGCCCTGCGCCGGTAGAGCATCATCATCGTCACCACGCTGTCGTGCTGATGGAACTCATCCCCGAAGCTTTGCTGGATCGGAGCCCGGGGATCGTCATCGAGCTGAACGTGTGTTGAACTCGGAGGTGACGTACGTTCGGTGCTTGGATCGGTCGGATCGTGAAGACGTACGACTACATCAACCGCGTTGTCATAACGCTTCCGCTTACGGTCTACGAGGGTACGTGGACGGACACTCTCCCCTCTCGTTGCTATGCCATCACCATGATCTTGCATGTACGTAGGAATTTTTTTGAAATTACTACGTTCCCCAACAGTGGCATCCGAGCCTAGGTTTTATGCGTTGATGTTATATGCACGAGTAGAACACAAGTGAGTTGTGGGTGATATAAGTCATACTGCTTACCAGCATGTCATACTTTGGTTCAGCGGCATTGTGAGATGAAGCGGCCCGGACCGACATTACGCGTACGCTTACGCGAGACTGGTTTCACCGCTACGAGCACTCATTGCTTAAAGGTGACCGGCGGGTGTCTGTCTCTCTCACTTTAGTTGAACTGAGTGTGGCTATACCCGGTCCTTGCGAAGGTTAAAACAGCACCAACTTGACAAACTATCGTTGTGGTTTTGATGCGTAGGTAAGAACGGTTCTTGCTAAGCCCGTAGCAGCCACGTAAAAATTGCAACAACAAAGTAGAGGACATCTAACTTGTTTTTGCAGGGCATGTTGTGATGTGATATGGTCAAGACGTGATGCTATATTTTATTGTATGAGATGATCATGTTTTGTAACCGAAGTTATCGGCAACTGGCAGGAGCCATATGGTTGTCGCTTTATTGTATGAAATGCAAATGCCCTGTAATTGCTTAATTTATCACTAAGCGGTAGCGATAGTCGTAGAAGCAATAGATGGCGTAACGACAATGATGCTACGATGGAGATCAAGGTGTCGCGCCGGTGATGATGGTGATCACGACGGTGCTTCGAAGATGGAGATCACAAGCACAAGATGATGATGGCCATATCATATCACTTATATTGATTGCATGTGATGTTTATCCTTTATGCATCTTATCTTGCTTTGATTGACGGTAGCATTTTAAGATGATCTCTCACTTAATAATCAAGAAGTGTTCTCCCTGAGTATGCACCGTTGCGAAAGTTCTTCGTGCTAAGACACCACATGATGATCGGGTGTGATAGGCTCTACGTTCAAATACAATGGGTGCAAAACAGTTGCACACGTGGAATACTCAGGTCATACTTGACGAGCCTAGCATATACAGATATGGCCTCGGAACACGGAGACCGAAAGTTAATATTTCAAGCAAATGCCCGGATTGAGAGATATGAAGTCTCCAATAAGTTCTATAGCTGCAAGATGGAGGAGAATAGTTCTGTCAGTGAACACATACTCAAAATGTCTGGGTATAATAATCACTTGATTCAACTAGGAGTTAATCTTTCTGATGATAGTGTCATTGACAGAATTCTTCAATCACTGCCACC